GGGGGGTGGGGGGGTAATAGGGGATTTACGGTATTGGAAATAGCGGGACTTGGAATAAAATAGGAGAGGAGTAGGCAGCGAAACGACAGACACTAGAGCGACTAGCGATAGCACCGATACTGTACTCTTGTTTAAACATCAGCGAGATGTAAGTCAATAAACATTTCACTGAGTCATATTTAAGAGTTAGTTGGGCGAGATGAACAATATAGCAGTACTTTACTGACTACGTATATTTATTTTATTGACAGTTCACTTTGACATTTTTTCATCAAGGTTTTCATTATTCGTTTTATTATAAATAGGTAAAATTTCGTGTCTCATGCAACATCACCACAAAAACGCATGACCGTACAATGCAATTTGTCCGTCCGTCAATAGAATGCAGACCTATTCCGTACTTGCCACTCGAAGTCCAAACCACGAAAACCACAGGCAACCCATCTCCGAATGACTCATAAAACCGGTTCCGATAAATACCACGCACGTCCAATTTCAATAATTCTACTCCTGTTAAATAATCAGCTACACTAATTCGTTATTGGTCATTTACAGGGATTATGTGAATGTGAAGCCAGCCACAGTGTAAGTGTTGTAGACTTTCTCCATCGAAACGATGTAAGCTGCAGTCCTGATGTCCAGTCCAAGGTTGTACTCTTCAGCACAGCGCATGATTTGCTAACGAGAGAGAACTTTCGTTAGAATTACGTCCTTTCCTTAGTTAAAGAAAAATGCGTGATTGACCAAGCGTCAGGTCAAGATGGCTGGTCCGTTTTGCGTATTAAATGGATCGAGGCGATGTCGAGGTCAATGATATCCAGCCATCTTTAACGAACACGATGGTCATTCAAGGCTATATTATAGTCCACGAAAACAACTTTATTTTGCGGGACAACGTGGGAAATCCCGAACTTTAACGTAGGCCTATCCTGCCCGCTCGGGCAGCTAATCGAAACACAGGATCACTTTATTTTACCCGCCTGCGAATTCAGCCATATGAAAAGAGATAAAAGACAACAGCAAAAAAGTTTCTTACAAACACAATATGCTGCTTCGTATAAAGATTGCGTGGGAGCCGTTTGAAGAAGAATTAAAAAAGGCCACTTCCCAGTTCCAAAGACCCTTACTCTTAAAACGAGGCTAAGTGCAAAACGCGTCCTGTAATAACGAGTGTCGTTTTCATGAGAATGAAAAAATCATTCTCACATCTTTGGCTTAGCAGTTAGTTTCGCATTAAAACAGCGGCATGGAGCAACTCGGTAAGCAGACGACTTCAACCGGGGTCCCCTAAGAACTTTCAGCCAATCAGAGACCGCTCCTTCAACAAAGAATTAAGCGTGCGGACCTCATCGGAAATTGTCCTATTTTTTGATTTGTTAGTTTCGATCCCAAATTTTTCGCCGATAATTGTGGTCTTAACGATGACGATAGATATTTGCCACACTTTGTCCGCGACAAAGGGTTCTAGATCTCTATAATACTGGGCAATCGCTCAAGAACTTGGAACCGAACATACAAATGAAATGTCAAGCAACACCGCAATGAGCATGCTTTCCCATCTGCGATCGTCGATCGTGCACCTCACTCATTTTTTGTTTCACTTGTTCCTGAGATTGTTTTATGGTTTTTCCTTTGTAAGATAAAATATTTCTCCGAGGATGCAAGAAAAAACGCTTTTTTACAGCAAGTGAGAAGTTAAGAGTAATTATAAGAGCTATCTTTGAATTACGTGATAAGATTCCCGTTCGGCCGAAGAGGGAAATTGGGTAGTTACTCCGTGCCTTCTTAATAAAAACAGCGCCCAGCGCTACCACGACCGTTGATGTTTTTTCTTGTTGAACGCAAGCATTTCTGTTAAAGAAAGACTTATCCTTCCTTTTTTCAAAAATGAATTTTTTGGACCAAGATCGAGAATGATGACTTCTAACTGCAGGAATAAGAAAATGCAATTCAACGGTAAAGAAAACAGCTGCAGTGTGATGTTTTCAAACAAAATCTTGTAACCAGACTGATTTTTTCCCCACAGATACAAGGCACTTTTATACCCCTTACCGAGCAATACATATTATAGCCAGCCCTTCAATAAATAAGCAGTTTGTACATTTTTCAAAAAGCAGCCACAGAAGACAGACGGTTAAGTGTATACGACACACTATTCTAAATGGCGAAATCATTTAAGATCTAAAATAACCAATCGAAAAATAGGACAGTTCCCGATGAGGTCCGAACGCTTAATCCTTTGTTAAACGAGCGGTTTCTGATAGGCTGAAAGTCTTCAGGTGGCCCCGGTTGAAGTCGTCACACTGTAAGGCACGCACACACACGAGGGGTGGGCCTCCTTCCTCGCGCGTCCCTTTCCCCTTCAAGTACCTGCCACAGACCTGAATAAAGGTTTGTTGTAAGCAATCATCCTACAATGGAACTCATCATGCCTGATTTTACGCACTGCTACCTCAATTCAGTCATTTAAATGTAGCCCGTATTTGTTACACATTTCTAAGATTACTCTAATAGACCTTCTTACCGATACGGCGGCCATATTGAGTTTATTCGATTTAAGGAGTATTATAGGATACCCAGGGGGCATGAGCACATTTTGTTTGTATTTTCGAGCGCTTTTCGGGACATTTTTTCGTAAAGTTTTCTTAGAATAAGATTGTAATGGGAAAAACGATCCTTGTGCCATGTTTGGAAGTAATAATGATCGCCTTTTTCCCGAGGAACATACAGTGAAAGACCATATTTCTAATACTAAACTAGAAAAAGACGATCATTATTACATCCAAACACAGCACAAGGATCTTTTTTCCCATTACAAACTTATTCTAAGAAAACTTTAAGAAAAAATGTCCCGAAAAGCGCCCGAAAATACAAACGAAATGTGCTCATGCGCCCTGGGCATCCTATAATACTCCTTAAATCGAATTAATTCAATGCGGCCGCTGTATCGGTAAAAAGGTCTATTACTTCTACGGCTAAAAACCGCTGATCATACTCAGGTTGTATCTTCCATATCAAATATTGGGGATTGCTATCCTATGCGCGCGAGAACTTTGATTCTGTGAAAAAGTCTAAGAGGGCGGATATGAGAGTTCTTTTGTCCCTGTACCTAACACAATAATCGATTATTCTAGTCTCCCCAGTTCTCCCCTGCTTTTAAAAACACAGTGACTAAATGTATGGGAAATACTTAGCCCTCGCTCGCCCTCATTGTGATCAAGCGGTGTTAAGTGTGCGACGTACCTTGGCTGATCTCTCCATTGTGAACTCCAACCCAGAATGCACTATGTCTCTCTCAGAGGCTCCCTGGAGATGACAATATCAACAGTTAGAATGAATCCTCTGAGAGAACTTAAACTGTCTTCGCATTCGAAATAATTCCAATTATATTGTGTACCTGTATGCGCGGTATTTTTGAAACAAAAAATGATAAAATAATAAAAAAACATAACTAATAAACTTTTATCATCTTCTCCCCTTGTGGGGCTTTTCAGGAAATTAAATGAAACATAACATAGATAAAAATCCCAACTGGTAGGAGGCAAACCAGTTGGCTATTTTACAAGCGTGGCCGAGGATTTGAACTTGGGACTTTTTTTGAACTCGGGGCTTCCGAATCATAAGTCCAGCGCTCTAACCACTCGGACACGATGCATCCTCTTTTTTTAACCGTGAAAAAAAAAAACAAAACAAAACAAAACAAAAACAAAAAACAAAAACGACAGGCACGAAGTTCTAATTAAAAAAGTTAGTGTACATGCAAAAGCATCTATATGAACGGGCGCAGTCCTATTGCCTGTGTTCTCCCAATAATCCGTTTAATAAAATACAGACTGATAATTCGGACCTTCAAGCGGGCTTCTTGCTTTTCCCGGGTTCAAGTTTTCGAAAACACTTGTACTTACCGCAATCTTGCTAATGAACTCCGCCGATGGCTTGATCGGAATAGGATGCTGCTTGAAATGGCTTTCCAAGCTTTCCTGGACGCTCGCTGTGATAGGAAAAGAACACTTTAGCATATAACAACTTTTACACGAGTATCATCATTATCATAAAGCTATACTCTCGGTCTCCGAGGGAAAAGTAATTTCCGGTACTGTTTACTTTGCTTGGTAATGTGATTACAGTGTTTAATGTACCTACCTGCGCACTCTTGAGCAAACCAAAAGGTACAAGGCAAGAGATGAAGGTCCTTGTTTTACGTCAGTAACTAGTAACAATACTTAGACTAAAAAAGCTGAGCCCCCCCCCACCCCCGCACCTCTTCCCGTAAGACGCAAAAAACAATCGATCGATTTAAAGTTTTTGGTAGAATATCCTGTTCGTGCGATTTCTGTGGCTGTTGTTTAAAGATGCGTATTTATTTCAGTCTTTTTTGTGCTTTAAATATGTACTAGAAGGACTATATTTTAATTCGAATAAACTGTAATGACGAGTTTTGGCGACTGTCTCCAGATTGTCTGTCTAGTTACACAAAGGCTCAAGCATTTAACTGGGACTCATTATTTATGGACAGGGACTCATGGTTCTTCACAAGAAGATTCCCAAAGACGCAGAATAAGTATTTGTAACAAAGTCACTGCTAATCCTAGACTGCGTCCCATACGTAATCTCACCCTGGTTAGTTACGTCTGCGAAGCAGCGCCAATATCCTTGTTCTGGGCTCCCAAGGGAGTCTAAGAATTACCAGAAATGCGTTTCGAATTTTCCTTCAATCTGATTGGCAAATCGACAATGGCATTTTTAACAGGCCAATCATGGCGCGTATTCAAATCCTGGACACAGGCGGGGGCCCAGAACAAGGATTTCGCCGCTGATTCGCAGGCGGACTTGTCCAGAAGTTTAGTTCCTCCGCCCCCTGAGTTCCATCTGTGGCGCAGGCTATGCTTATCCTTGTTGCTATTCACTGCGGAATATCGCTATACTGAGTTTAACTATTCAGTTCACGCAAAGATCGTACCTAACAAATTAAAGTTTGCCTCCTTCTCGTATTTCCAGGTCAATCTGCCAAAACTGACGTGATTAATATTCTTAAGCCACTCGAAATATGACACTGTTACACCTCCAGCATTCAAATACAAGTCCTGCAAAATAAGGATCAGTTTGAAAGGGTCATCGCGTCGTTCCATCAATTACATGAGAAAAACAATATCCCAGTCTATATTTAGCCATTGAAACTGTTTTCCGTTGGCTGTAGCTACGCATGACAAGGATGGACATGCATTGAAACTTGAAAAAAATTTAGCTAACTTTCCAAGTTTCAATGTTACGCCTGCTAAAATCACCAAGTGGTTGATTGTTAGTGCTCCCCCAGGGTGCTCCCCTGATGATATCTTTTTCATAACTCTAGACGAGTATTTTGCGTTTGGTAAACTAAAAGGCTGATGACGTAATGACTTCAGCTCAGCATGAACCTACAACGGCAATATCCTGGTGACATACCACCTACCCCTCCCATAAGAAATTCTCCTTTAAGCCTACTTGCAAGCACTAAGTCAAGAAACTAAAGCATTTACCGGAATAACAAGTTTCTCATTTTCAATAAGCACTTTTTCTGCTGCTGGCGTTGTTGGACCATTTGCACCCTCAGCAATAACCTGTGAAGAAAAAACAGATCAAACTTAAACAAGTAGCAAATTTAAATTACAACAAAGATCTCTACATGGAACACTGTAAGTGACGGGCCGTTTAAAAGCAGTCGGTCCCCTGCTAATCTCTGGGACTGTTCAAGAAGTATAGAGGTGGATGGGCCGCAACACAGAGGGGCTAAGTCATGTTTAAAGGTTTTTAACCTTCCCAAAGGGGCAGGTTATGTGGTTATGAGCCTCAGGAAGGCGTGCTTCATCACAGGTAGCCTAAGCTCGAAATATGAGCATCGGCATTGTTGCATAACCCTCAAAATGTAAGATATGTAACCTATGTACTTAACAAATGTCAAAGGAATTGACTAAAAATCGGCTAACCTCACTTAATTGGTGGCCGTAAAACGGCTGGGGGAGCACACAAGACAGAAGAAACACACAGCTTAAGTGAGGTTGGCTGATTTTTTATTTCAACTCCTTCACGCTGGTAGGTGACAGAAACAATAATTTTTTCCCAACACAAATCCATATAAATTAATTCATTGCTTACGGCGCAAACGTGCCTGCGCTTATCTTTCGAGCATGGGCTGCCCGTGGAGTTAATATTTTAAGGGATGTTAACCCAAGCAAGCGTTAACCCAAAGTTCAGTCTACCTACCTTTGCTTGAATTTTATGAGCATTTTTGATCGTAATTTGTTTCTCGTTGGCAGCTGGAACTAGAATGTCACATTCTGCTTCTAAAAGGTTTTCTTCTGTCATCTATTAAAAAAAAAATAAACGAAAACCAGTAAAAAAATAAGTAAAAAAATAAGTAAAAAAATAAGTAAAAAAATAAGTAAATATAGTGTATTGTGGAAAATTTCTATAACTCACAAAAGGCTAAAAATTCCAGATAACTGTTCCATTCACCTAAGTTTTTGAGAGTTTTTCTTTCTTCCCTATGATTCTTGTAAGTTGGTTTCTTGATCTACTTTGCTCAACTATTATTAATCTATTTTTTTTTCTACTGGGGCAGTAAAAATTCATATCAACATCTCTTTCTTTTCCACTTAACTAAAGCGATGAAGATGTATAAGCTATTGTTATTTAACAAACCTTAGCTCCAGGAAAACCCTTGATTGATCCATTGTTGTCCTTGATAACAAGAAATGAGAAAAGCGCTCAGTGTAAGAGTTTATTCATGTTTGTTTATGTCTGAATAAATTCTTCATGCATAAGACATCTAAAACATGGTCATTTGTCAATCAGCCATTTGACTTTGTTGAAAAGTAAAAAAAGCTTTTACATGGAGAGTCTAATGAGTAAATGAGTTATGAGTCAAGTTACACTTCTAGGGTTTATGCTAGAGGTTTAATGGGAATATAGGATAGGGTTTGGATTAGGGTCGGGTGATGCATGACTTGATCATGACTTATTGACTCGCTTACACTTATAGACCACTCCGCGGTTATTTCAAGTGTTGATAAAGACCAGTGAGCAAATATTCATTTAAATGGCTGGAAATAACACCTTGAAATCTGTAAAGTTGCCAAATTTTAACCTGCTTTGTTGAAAACTAACGAAGATATAGCTCTACAAAGTCGCATAATTCAACAGACAAAGGTATGGTAGAAAAGCGGAGGGGACCGACCTTGCTCCAAACACACTTAAGTTTGCTCTACACTAAGATTTAACTGTCTATATGAGTGCAATAAATTTCATGTAGACACAGTCTATATTTTAACTCTAGCTATTGCTGGGAATGAACAGGATTTTTAATTGTGATAAACATTGATTAAATACTTATATAAAAATGTCAAGTTTGATTACCAGCTTATAATCTTCAAGTTCCTTAGGATCAATTCCATCTTTATTGTAGAGATTTCCATCTCGTTCCATGACACCAATGCACCTGGCTCCAGCGCGATGGAGGTATCGACAGGTATGAAGGCCCACATTACCGAATCCCTATTAAGAATCAACAATTTACACATTTTCAACCTTTCAGTTCATATTAAAAGCAGTTAACTGCAATTTATTATAAGTTCTTTTTAAGACTTATTTCAATTATTTCAATCCTAGTGAACTGGTACATGTACAATGATGTACAACATTATAAAAGTCTCATTTTTATGCCACCACCAATAATAACCATCTTAAACAAATCTAATTCAGTTTACCTTCCCCTCCTTAAAGGCTAGTTACATAGGCAAAACAGAGTGCATGCTTCATAAGTTTTTTGGAATGCAGCTCATAGGTGCACTTTAGAATGCAGCAATTAATAACTGGTGCTCGCAACAAAGGGAGCGTCGTCTATTATCAGCTAAATAACTGTGCCAATTTTTTTAACCAGCCTTACTTTAGCTATTCAATATGCTACGTATTTGTAATAGCCCACAACAACATAACCATGTACAAGCTTGGATTACAAACTGAATGAGGGTAAGTGTACCAGGATAATGTTAGTTAAGGCAGTGCCAAACATGTATAAACATGAACAAAAATGTTACATCAAGTTCGTTAAATCAATACAGTCGAAGCTCTTCTTGCGACCACTGTGGTAAGAGACCAGCTCTAGTCACGACCACCTTTGTGAAACCCTGTCTGAACTGTGACTTAAAAGTTCTCGCAAGTGGCCACCCCTGTAAGCAACCGTGACCACTTTTGGGATTACCCAACTGTGCTTTTCCTTTGTTTTTAAGCTCTTATAAGTGACCACTCAGAGTCTTTATTCATATAAATCAACACTTTAACGAAACTGCACATTTGTGCTGATGGTCTATTTAAAACATTGGACTAAAGATTAGCTGTGTCTGTGACAGATACAAAGAGACCCATTAAACAATAATTGGTTTTGTTTGTTCTTTTTGAGTTATTAATGAGTTCCTGGAGCTCTTGTAAGCGACCAGCTCTAGTTACGACCACTTTTTCGAGTTTCGGAGTTGGTCGCTTATGAGGGCTTCAACTGTATTATTATTGAGGTCTGGCAAATACCTGAACTATAAATGTTTTGCCTCTCAGACCAGGTTCTAAGCCAACCAGCTTGCAATATTTTTCTGAACAAAAATAACCAGGTAGAAAACAAATAATTATGATTAGAATCATCTGCCACATACTACCATTAAAAATTTCAGAAAGGACTTCTACAGTAGGTTTGTGAACCCTTTCATCAGGTTAAATGTGATTTAGGCAAAGTTAAACTGTAAGCAATGCTGGACTGCAGTGGTTTTTTTTTTTTACTGTAGCAGCTCACATTCTGTGGGGGAAGCTCACAAAATTGAAGGGCTTGAAGACTTAAACAAGGATCATGTTGCCGAGACTCATTGTGCAATTAAGTGTGTTTGGCGTCTATAAGCCACCTTTTGCTGATTTCTTCTACAGGCCTTTAAGTTTGCTTTCCTCTGCTGGCTATTCTGGTCTTCCCGTAATTGGCACATCACATGAATAATAGCATTCAAGGCTCACTCTTCACCCTCATCAGGATCGACTGTTCAAATGCTGCGCACTCAAGCAGTGGCTTGCCATGCTACGTGTAAATGTGGCTATTACTGTAATAATTTGATTTTGTGCCGGAGGCGTTCTACTTTTGGTACCTCAAGGGAGGGCACTTACTCGAGACATTGGACTTATTCAGGACAGCACGCTTATTTCTTTTTTAAGAAACAACCAAATGTTAAAAACAAAACGTGAATGTTCATTAAAATGAAACAAAAACAGAAGCTGTAACAGTGACAAATATATGGTGAATGTTCAGTTAACGTGAGGGAATTTCAATCTATTTCTACTCCAATTCATTGATGGTGTAGATAGGGGCTCGTTAGGCAACGAACGACTTTGACTTCATGCCAAAATGCTGCTTGTTCCAATAAATCTTTAGTATGGCACTTAATGGAAGAGGGGCCCTTGTTAACAAGACAAGACAAGACAAGACAACGCTTTATTATTTTGGAGTGTTATACAGTCCTATGTACATCGACTTTATCCAAATAATTTAAAATCATAACACAAACTGCACACTAGTGGAACTATAGTCAATGTTAACCTAAAGAACTAATGATCTTCTTTTTTCATAGCGGTCGAATACACATTTTGCAATTAACTTTTGCACTGGTTTGTTCTTGCTCAAAGGGTTTATTAACAACAGAAAAACATCATCTGGTGCCATTCTGTTTACTGATATTCTGTATTCTTTGTTTAAGTATTCAAATAAAGTACTTCTTTTTTCTTCATACGCAGGGCACAGAGTTATTAAAAAGTGTATTTCATCTTCTATGTCTTTTTTACAGATAGGACAGATCCTCTCTTCCGGTTTCTTATAAGGTCTTACATACCGACCTGTCTCCATCGCCAATTTGCGATTACTTAGATGGAGTTTAGTAAGGGTTATCTGGTGTTGGATGTTAGTGACCTGACGGAGATAATCTTCACATTTATAATTTTCTATTGTTTTAAATTTTCGGAAGGTTCTTAGTTTGTTCTTTTGGTTGGCGTCTTTTCTTACGTCATTGTTTACGTCACTTTACCATCTTTGTAATTCGATGTCTTTCAGTCTTTGTTTGATAATGTTCAAGATTCCAATGTCATTTTCATGTGTTTTTGTCCAGAGGTATCCCAGCCCTATTTGGTCTAATATGCGTTTATTTTTTGGCTCCATAATTCCTTATTCATCCTCGACTTCATATCATTATAAACCACCTACAGGTAATTATATTTAATCTGGACAAGGTTAACCTCATTAGACATCACATCTGGGTCAGCTGCAGTTGAGCTACAGAATGGCAGGCTTTTGAGGGGTGGTTACTAGCTTACATGTACATGTGATTGCATAATGGTTTGGTGGTTGTTGCTCACTAGTTGCCATGCATTCGTTGTGTTCGTCACTTAATATGCACCTGTTACCGCCATCCTTTAGAGGAGCTACACTCAACCTCATCTATTGTTGATGAGTTCAACCCATGGTTTTTGTTTTCTATCCTTGCATTGCATAATTCTGTCAATTTTTCATTTATTTATTTGGGATGCATGGAAATAAAAAGAATTTGAAACTTGAGGTTTTCTGATAACCAATATATCACAGTAGAAAATCCTTCACAGACTATTGGGACAGTGGGCATGAGTTTGGGGACCATGTTAAAATTAGTTGCAGGGATTTAGAAGGAATTTGGGTACAGAGTTTACAAGGGATTTATCTTGTCCATAACAGTGGCCTGGAGTTTTCACATAAATATTAAAAGTTTCTGGTAACTTATAGTTAATGGGCCTACCTGAACTAAGAAAGTTCTCTATTCCATGAAAGACACCCTGAAATGCAAAGTGATTACAGTTACAAGAAATTCTGGACTCATGCTTCTGTTTTACACTAGTCTGCATTATTAAGTTCCCCCCTCTGGGATAAAGCATGGCATTAGCCCAATGAATTACATGTACATCCATCTCTTAATGGAAAAAAATACATGGTGATGCATGATATAGTCTGTCAAATTCTGTCATGCTTTACGCATGCTGTACTGTACATGTACAGGTACAGGTACAATTGTATTTTATAAGAAGGTACAAGAGAGAAAGTAAGATAATACTTACCCTTCCTGTTGCTGATATTCTTCCATGGATGCCACCAAGATAAATTGGTTTTCCAGTGACACAAGCATAAGCATTCATATTACCATAACCTGCAATGGTCATTAAAAATACAATACAATGTACATGTATGTGTAAAATTAAGAGAAATACATGTACACTGTAAGTTTGTATGCAGAGGATACAATATAATTATGTACATAGAAAGTTATAATTGAGGGTGAGACCAGAGTGCTAACTGAATGCAAGGCTTAGATAAGTAGAACCATCGGGTTTCCTGCTGCCTTTTGAAAAAGACGAGGTATTAATAATTTTTCAAGGTAACCAAGGTTTTGGGCAATCATTGCCCAAAATATTCTTGAGAGGTTTTAAAATTATTAACCTCTCAAGTACCTGTACAGGCTGATGAATGTTCACTAAAGCAAGCTGACTTTTCTACTTTGGTCACTCCATTATATAGCATCTTATACAAAAAAATATGCATGATCTGAAATATGTTACATGTAAACTGTGAAGACAAAATATTTTGTGGGCATTCTAACCACCAACAGTTCTAGACCTGACACCCTTCTTACAGACAACACTATAGTAAATCATAGTGCATATAATTATTTTAGTATCTACTGACAATCACCTAATGTCATATCAAATGAGTCAGCAATCCAGCTCATTTCTCTCTCCCCAGTCCCCATGTCTGGTGCTGGCACATCCAGGCCTGGCCCAATGAAATTTTTCTTGGCAAGTTCCACCGTGAAACGGCGTGTTATCCTTTCTAACTCACGTTGCTTAAAAAGAAAAAAAAGACAAGACCAGGGTATTTAACATGTATCACATCTCACTTAAACTTTGTTTTTTAGTAACATTACTGTAGGTACACATGTAGATATAAAGTGAGATAATGCACAACTCTCTAAACTAAAGATATGAGCAAATTCCACAATCAGAAACCCTTGCTAACATTAAGACCTTTAACATCCATCCAGCCATTCACAAAATACATGAATACTTGAATGTCAAACAAAGCAGTAAGACTGATTTTATTAAATAGACAAACTAACTTACAATGTATTCCCAACAAGAGAACTTCAGCAAAGAATGTGGATTTTGGCCATTCAATCTGCAGGTGCACTTATCTTTGCCAGACGTAACAGACTATTGAACCTTAGCTTTTCTAGCTGACATATATGCATGCTTCAGTGGGTCAATGCATCTATCTAAGTTTGGCCCTATACTGACATTTGCTGCTAATTTCTAACTCAAGACATGAGGGGTTAATTCTGTAGTAGCCCCAGGGGGGGAGGCCAATGGTTGTTTTTTTGTGGAGAACTATCTTTCTTGGATAGGGGGATTTGTGAATGTCATTGTGCAAATGACCGAGGGTTCCCCGGGGTCCACCGCCTGGGATGGCCACCGTTAAATTACTGCACAATTCAATAATAAAGCTGCCTAATTCAAACCTTTTATGGCAACTCTTATCATGACATTAGATTTGAGATAAAACCATCATACAGTAAAAGAGAAAAACAAGAAACTGCAGTACAAACAACTGTTCCAAACCACAAATGTATTTTCATTTATTTCAGCTCCAAGTGACGACGTCTGCTTTCTCAGGGTTATAAATACCTTTGTGTATGTAACTACTGCACACTATTATTCTTTAATACAAAATAAATGATGCAGCCTATTAAAGACTCCTTTCTACAGTGATGAAGCAGAGAGTTTGCTGCAAAATACTGTACTTTTATCGCCATTGTTGCTGGCCTCTCTTTCTTATTAAAATGGGTTATAAATTATTGTTATATGGTTTTAACAACTTTACATACTGAGTATTTTGAAGGTTTGATCTTGATGCCACCTTTAGCTCCACCAAATGGAACATCCACAACAGCACATTTGAAAGTCATTAGGGTGGCCAAAGCTTGTACTTCATCAATATCAACATCTTCACTATACCTAATTCCTTTAAAATACAAGTTAATTCATTAATGTATAATCATGTGAAATCAGAAGCTTCTTCACTTTATTGCTAATTAATTTTTAAATCATAGTAACTGCTTTATTGAATCCCATCTTAAATATCACTATGTTAACTTGTTGTATACTAGTACTCAGCATGGCATAAATTTAAAAAAGAAATGTTGTTGTTCACTAATTCTCTTGTTTCGTGTCTTTCAGTCTAATTGTTGCAAGCCAGCTGAAGAACATGTTACCAATAATAATCAGTTTTACCCTGTAACAATAACAACTTTTGTCTTGCATGTCCTGACCTTTTTTTGAATCACTTTATTAGTACCATTTGAAGCACAATTTTCTTGGAAACCCACAACATGTAGTACCTTTTTATAGAAAAACACAACATTGTATTCCCTAAGCATGGTTGCCACAGCCAGAGATTTCTGAAATTCCTGACACAGAAACAATTTCCGCTTTCCATTTTCGTATTTATTGACTCCTAAGTTGTGACGCAGGTGGCTATGCGATTTCCCGCCAAAATAACCTTGAGTTGCATCTGGGTTGCCATACCTGTTGATTGAGTTATTTTGCATTGGTATGGCTGTGGTGCAGGCAGACAGTTGCTCCCTCAGTGTACGGTCACATCATTACCAAATTTTTTGGGATGGGTAGATTTACTTACCCATGGTGCTCTGCTAACGCACGCGAGCTCCGCTAATAGTATTTATAGTACACTATATGGTCTCTGCCCTCACTGTTGGTATTATCAGGGCTCAACTTTTCAATGTACAGAGTAATAAGTTGACAAACCTCCTTTACATGGAGTTCTGTGATGGCTGTGTTGAGCTCTGTATCCTTGAATAATTTCAAATTCACCATTATCTCGCTTAACTGGAAACATTACGGAAAGTACATCAGCGCAGGGCTTCATCACATCCAAAGTGCCTGAGTGTGAAAACAATTCAAATGAATGTGGGAGGAGGTGTTTTAACCATGCATGAAGCTTAAAGTGAGCAATCAGGGCTCAAAATTAATAATGGCTGGTCAACAGACAATGTCCGGATTATAAGATAACCAGTTGTCCAGTTAAACTTCGGTTTGTCAGTCATTTTGACCGGACACATAAATAAGCATCCGGAAAAATACAGTTTCACACAATTATGTTTCAAGAAGACTAACATCTTTTCTATTTCATGTTTTTGCTTGTTAGCCTAGTGTGTTCAAGTTATCATTGTTGTTGACCAGTCAGAAGAGAGACATGACTGAGCTAAAATTTCTACTCCTGGTAAGCACGACTGGCAACAGTCCTAAATTTATTTTGAGCTCTGGCAACTCTGGCCAGCCATCTCCTTCATTAATCATATACTAGGTTATCTTGAGGCATATGTAGTGTATGCTCTGACTAGTTGTCTTCCATGTGTAGTTGTTGAAGCCTTTTTACTCCCAGCTTTCCCCTCCCTCTGGAGATATCTTAGGTAAGAATCTAAAAACTCTCCACTGAGGTTCTCAGTACGATGGTGCCTTGTGGTAGCCACTCACAGGGTTGTCATCGTTACCTTCCACACTCCCTTATGGCTACAACAGTTTCCATTTGTATGGGGTGTCACTACCCAAAATTTCATTTTGTTGAGTGTCCATGTTGACTTTGAACTGTGTTTGCTTTCTCCTTTGAATTTGCTAGAATAGACCATTTTTCAGTTGTGGACTTAGTACCCTAGCCTTCGAGTGAATGTGAGGCTGACAGTGACCTTGTTTTGATACAAACCCCCTTTGCTTTGTTATTGAAATTGTCCTCGAAAAATACTAGTTAGCGTAAGAATAACTTGATTTACATAATAAAGCGGAAAGGTTTGTATCAAAACAAGGTCCCCGCCAGCCTCGCTTCCATCCATAACTGTCAAATGGCCTATTGTAATGATCTCAAATCAGTTTCATAATGAAAGCTCACTTCAACCAGACAAACGCCACGAGGCACTCCTTAAAAGGAATTGCTGGGGGTTGGGAGTGGGCGTATGCGATGTCGTAATTCATGGTTTATCGCTTTTCATTGATCTGTGGACTCATTCGCAAACGATTTCTGTTCTTAATGTTTTGAAGACACGGAATGCACAAGGATGAAAAAGTTGTGTTAAGTATTAGCTTTCTGTTATTTTGGAATTATAAAGTTACAAAGAATTAACAAAGCAACGGGACTTTAGTAAGGTATTCCATGTTACAGGCGTAAGCGGCCCACTGGCCTGATCGACCGGCTTCATCAAAGTTTTCATCTCAAATTACACGCAAAAACGACCAAATATGTGTAGACTCTGATATTTGAAAGCACCTTCTACATAAAACAATCTATGTCGCGTAGAAATTTTCTGTTCGATTTACAAGAAACAAATCCATCGAATACCTCAACAGAAAAAAAATTTTATCACACATAATTTTATGTTGGAGTCTCGGCGCAGAGAAAGACAAAATCCTTACTTCAGTTTACCTTTTATCCTATGCTTCTTCTCTTCAAAATTCTCTGGGCGATGACCTGGGGGATCCGGCTTTGTTAGCAACCTATGTTCAACGTAACTTCTTGCATTTTCAAAGAAACCTTCACACATTTTTGTGAAAGAAGGATCTTGTGGATCAGAACTTGTTGACATCTTTGCAATAGCATTTTGAACAGCAGGAAGACACTTCGTACTTCTAAACAACGCGGCCCTTATTGTACTAACACTTTGAACGCCGAACATTACTAAACTTTCGCGACATCAACGCCACTTCGACAAACAAGGATCCTCACAGATCGCCGCCACGAACTTTTCTGTCCGCCTCAACTCAGTTGATTGTGAGGTGACACCGCTTAGCCAATAAGAGATTAGTGCCAGTTCTAATGAGCTATATCCCAGGAGACCTTTCCGCCTTTTCAAGTAAGGTTGCGGTTGTGACCGAAGACGTCTGTGCTGCCGTCACTTTTCTCTTTCCTGTTTCCCGATGTTTCGGTCCGTGTCCATGATTAAAAGAAAGGTTCTAGGGCAGGTTTGTTTTACAAAAAACCCGGCGGCCCATGCCGCCTGCGTGGCGTGCAGGCGCAAAGGGGAGAAAGTTCTAAAGACAGAACTACAAATCGGGATTACCTAAATATGGCACCAGGACAGGAAATATAGCACAAGCGTGATTGTTAATTTCTTTCAGCCAAACCTAACGGGACTTTCGGCAAAAAAGCCACAGGAGAGAAAGCCCGAGCAGACCGCTGTCGTGCGCCTGTTCCAGGTGTTTAGATAGTGAACATGCGCAAAGAGAGGTGAGCGTCAGCAGAAAAAGAAATAGCTAGCTAGAGATGGGGTCAATGGAGAAAGAAGACTCTCTATTTCTCCTCTTCCTCCTCCTGGGAGAAAGGCTGGAAAATGGAACTTGATATTACCAGTTGCAACGCCCTTCGGCCATGTGTTGGAGGTTGGTTTTCCCCCCGGGCGGGGGGGGGGTACTCGATATATCTTTGGGTGGGGAGGTGCGGCCCGGCCTCTCATACCCTAACCCTGTTTAAGACAAAAATCGCTGATTTTCCTACCATGTTTAAGACAGAATTCCGATTTTCGATACCCTGTTTAGGACATTTAACCCGCAACCATACCCTGTGTAAGACAATAATAAATAAAAATTTTGCTGTAGTTTAATTCGTAGAACATAGGCGCAGGCTGTTTATCGTCCAAGAAAAGTTACACTGTTTAAGGCCCGCCATGTGGCGGCCTCTTCTTCTCCATCTCCTCTAGCGAGTATGGTTGCCACTACCAGTCAGTGCTTAGAGCAATGGGGTGAGCTTCGTCTTTACCTTCTACAGTTTAGACTGCGTAAACAGCCCGTTGGTGATGTGTCTGACGACCCATTGTCGTCCTCTACTTTCTTCGACCCGCTTTTACGAACTGGGGCAAGAGAACTCAAAGGGATGAAATGGCGGAGGATCCGCCGTTGCGGCGTCACTGATGAAGTTTTTAGTTTTGTGTTGGGGAACGGCTCGTCTCATTTTTTAGCCTGGGTCCAGGTTCCGCATTGGCGTGGGCAAAGAAAAAAAAAATTGGGGAGTTTGGGGAGGGTAAAAGGGCCATTGCTAGGCACATTGCTATATTTTTCCTATTTGACCCCGTTTTTTGCCTTTTCCCCCACCCACTACGGAGCCTGGTCCCAGGCCACTCAATTTTTTTTTTTCGTTTTCTGTTTTCTGTGGGTGTTCTGCTCTCCGCCCTCTCTAGTCGTAATCTGAGTTGTACCGTACTTTACTTGCTTCCGTTCCGTGTGGGGGTGGGGTTCACATCGGCTGCAAAGTTGGCGTTTTGGGGCCTCCGTTTAAGCGTACCCACCACATATGTGGCACCCACCCTAGTCGGGGGAGGGGCTGCCCGTTTGCTTGAACACAAAAAACAAACGTCATGAAAATTTGGCGCCTTTGCGGAGCCATACGTTCGTTAGTTTTCAATAAATTACGTTCAAACAGCATTTTTACTCATTAACGCCTTCTTTGTGGGACCTTTTAGCCGTGCTTTTACGATTTACAGAAAGAAATGTTAGAGGAAACGAGGAGAGAATGCGTGAAAACCAACCACCCTATATACCAACGACGCAACACAAACAACTTATTTGACTTGCTTGATCTTTATTTCCTATAAAATTTAGACTGATATAGAATATCTACACATTCAAGCGGCTTACATCTATTTTAGCCTTCTTCGTAAGAATTTGTTCTTCGCTACTTAACTTTGGCTGTAAACATTAGGTTATAAATAGGTATAAAATCTACTTTGCTCACGATATAAGGAGAGAAGAAACGACCAAACATTGTTTAACGAGTTCACTAAACTTAGTAACACACAACCCTAAATTCACAAACGTTGTACAAATGATGAAAGATACTGCTACGAACGGTATATAAATGAAAATTGTAACAGCGATTGAAATATTTTACGTTTATCTCTCCTAACATACTAACTAGGGGCAAGGAAGCAGACACGATTGCTTTTCCAAATTTTCATTGGTTTCTTAGTGAGTTTAATGTGATAACTGGTTACTTATTTGCGATTTTAATGCCACATTGTCGAGAACCGTTTAACACCGAACCACTACAAATTCAGTCGTCTGACAAGCATTTTGGTTCAGCTTACAGCGTTTAACCGCTGCTCAAGTCCCATTTTGCTTCATACACAGAGCTGGTATGTATTTACAGCCGCTAAATCATATCTTTGATATACAATATTTATAGAGAGATATATAAATACATGCTAACATTTAATATGTACAATGGGACACGCATGAAATCTTACTTTGCTGTTACGTGTGGTCGTCTCATTAATGTCAATGATAAAGCAAGAAAAAAGGCTGTGAGATTGGGAAAAAACTCTTAAAAGTAAACCATCATCACGAAAATTATTAAGTCAAAGTTGTTAGCAAAACTTCATAGGAACTATGGAGAATTGTTCTAAATCTGGATAGTGTTCAAGCAACAATATAAGAGAGATCTGATTTGTATATATATAAAAAAATCTGGGCCTGATGAAAAACAAGAGAAATAGGCGAAAGAAAAAAAAATCGGAGTTAAATAAAACTGAAAGCAAAGACATCTTTGTGGGAACAACTGTAGAATAAATATCAAAAGTCAAAAACTTGTGGGAAGCAAGGAAACAAACGACAATAAAAGCGTCATCCGTTGAACCTACTCGCAAGATATGGAGGTTCAAATTCCAATTCAGATTTCTCAACAATTACGAGATCCAAAACGGACTTTGCATAAGGATTCGATAATCTACATCCACTTTATAAAAGGATGTTGGTATCAAATCGGGATTTTCCTAGCGAACACTTTGGTCGAGTATATTCTGCAAGCATGTATTTACCAAGAGAACATGGAAAAGTGCGAAAAAAATAAAAAGCGGACGGGTATGCTGGTCGACGACAAAATTAATTTAGAAGACTGGAAAGTAAAACAATGTACACTTATGACTGGTACCAAGGGAAACAGTTAATTTTGTTTCCCGAGAATCTCGAAACAAAATGAAATGTTTCCCTCGGGGCCAGTCTTTATGTGATTTGTTACATAGCTGGACATTTTGAAACCAAAAATTCATGAAACCTCGCTATAACGGCGGTCGTCGGTCGACATTCGCGGGTAACAGTGCACTGCTAGCCTCTGACGTCATAGATTTTGCAACATTACCCGAAGCGAGATTTTGGCGGGAAACAGTTTCATTGTTAGATGTCATGTGACCTCGAAGTAACCAATGAGAGCGCGCGCTGTTGGAAAAAAATTTCCAGCTATATAACAACATTCAATACGCAACTACATTTGGCCAGCCAATCAATCTCTAGCCACCTCTTACGTAACTAATATTACTCTGGCGATATCTTGATACTACTTCACTACTTTTGTGTCTCATACATCTTTTAGACTCCCTACCTGAAATAAAACAGATACATCCCTCTAATAACAATGATAAAAAAGAACTATTAGAACAGAATACTACTAAATGTTTACAGTTAGAGGCGTAACAATCTTTAATTTATTTATGCATATATTATAGCATTTACTAAACGAATTCCAAATGTTGGAATCATAATTCTTTTGTGTCCATAACACACCATTGTGTATGGTTAAAAACGTTCTTTGTATTATTCACATAACGCAAGAGTCAAATTAATTTGTCCTTTGCATAATAATATCATTAATCCTGAGTTTGACCCATAAATCACAGTTTCACGAGCTCTGTTCTAAGATACATTTTGTTGCGTCGGTTCAATATACACGTCCCGTTAGCTCACAAGATAAAAACAACGCCTTATCTGAGATCACTGTTTTCTCCTGTTCATGCTTAAACACATCATTAAAAAGGCGAAATGTATAAAAACATCACGTAAAAGAGGTACAGCAAGATTAAGGAACTGTCAAACAATGGCACTGTAAACCGAGGAGGGATCGTTAATAAAACTGCATTCACCACTTTGGAAACGAAAGTGGATTGGAGCAGAAATGCGTCCCGCAATTGCTTCTGGGATTGTTCCTGGAGATGCGCTAGTCAGCTATTGGCTGTTTTTTTCACCCGTCCCTTGTAAGAGTACCATGCGCCATAGCGAAGGTTAACTCAGCTCAGTTTCCTTGTTGTTTCTAAAGTGGCGATTTTTTACTCAAAAGTACACGCTTCTAATAGTTAACGTGAATACAGCTAAATTCGACGACGGATAACTCTTCGCTATGCGATTAAGACACCCAATACAGGAGATACACTGACTACAAATATATTCCTTTAAGATGTATATTACTATGTTTTACTTGCAAGAAGCAAAGTAAAAAAAACCCTGAATCAGTATGGTTCTTTAATATTTTGAATAATGACTAATAGCCACATATTATATTACTCAAACATGGAGAGAATGTCTTCGCTGGGCATGTCGGACGGCGTCAAGTAGCTAAAAAGTTCTTCTGGGTCGAGGGTACCTGGTAAGACCTGAAAATTCAACGGTAAGCCGATAAGTGAATAAGCACAACGACAACACGGTGCTGAATGCACTTCAAAGTTGCAGTGGCGTAAACGAATGTATGGGGGCTCAAAACTGGGAACTCTTTAATATACCTCGAGACTCGCTCCCGGGTAGAGTCAAACGTTAACAAGAGAAAGCTCCAAAACGGTTAGCAACAGAAACTCCAGTTGTTTATGACAGCTCCAGGTTCCGATGCGCTTTCATGATTACCGGTCGTTTCGATACAAGTCAATTGAGTCGAGGTATAAATAGTTTCGCGAAGTTGGCTTATAGAACGAGGACTACTCACGTCATATGTTTTTCTTGTCCACGCGATAACTACTAAGAGTTTCAACTGTTATGCAATTTCACTGCTTGACTTTGTATCAAAACGACCTGTATCACCTTCGTTCTGATGCAAAATTACTTCCAAAATGATCAAAGAAAAACACAATCATATAGGTTAACCATTTGGATTTCATCGTATTACTGATAAATGGTAGGCTACGTAGCGCATGGCCTTCCTGTAAATGACTACACAAACAAACAACTTACATCTAAAGCGCCTTCCACTCCATCTGTTCCTCCTCCATGGTCACTCTCCAGTACATCGAAGTTAAACTCATCTGGAAGGTTATCACTTTCCAAGTCGGGCGCCGTGGTATCAGTGTTCCCAGCTCCAGGAGCCTGAGGAAGGCTTGATGGGTGTTGTGGCCTGTCCGTGGTCCCCTTCTGACTTGTATGACTTCCTGGAGTCTGAGGAGTGGCAGGACCTCGGCTTTGATTAGCATTTTGCGTTGTGGCTTGACTGGTCACTGGACTTGGAGTCATTTTATCAGCTGCAAAAATGGGCCAAAAGGTATCAAAAGTTAAAACTAGGAAGAAATTCCCTGAAGAGTAGATCCACATACACGGGTAACTTGAAAAAGAAAATCGCCATGTCAGACGAAGAGAATATCTTCCGTCCGTCTCTACCTAGCCTGTGTAGCTGGCAGGATTGATGTGCCCGAGGTACGTTCTTGGTGGCGGAGCCTCGCAGCCATTTTTGTCTCCTCACGCAATTGTTGGGGAGGAGGGTTACGTGACTAGACAAAAGGGAGCTTTAGCAACGACGACGGTGACGGCAACCAGGACGTCAAAAAAGCCATAGGTTTATGACTTAAAACAACAACTTTGCACGTGCATCACGCTTTTTTGTACATTTCTTTAGCGTCCTTGCACGACTACGACGTGAAAATACCTAATTGCAAGTTTTATGCAGGACGTAAACAAGCGACGACGAATCTCTTTTTTTCTCTCTCTAAACTTGAGTGCGGTCCTCAAGAAATCGACTCCAGGGAAATTCGCCTACATTTGCCATTTTCAGCAAATTGGAATAAACGCGACAAAGGTTGAAAAAACGGGAATTCATTTTAAAACTGACGTTTTCGCTACCGTTGCCGTCGTCGATGCTAAAGCTCCCTAAAAACGACTCTGAGGGAGAAAAATCTTCACGCCCCCAGAAAACTACAGCAATACCCCGTTAATCCCGTTAGCTACGCAAGCTAATCCCTACCGCCGGTATTCGCACCTGTGACTAAATTTCCAAATGCCAGGCGGGTGGAGGGAAGGAAGGACAAGGAAATTCTTTAAGTTCAAAGGTGACACGCGTTCTAATTTGGGACCGATACGTTTACACGTCGAAAATTGGGAATGCCGTGCCTTAAAATCGTCAGCACGGTGCCAAAAATTTGGCGTGCCGTGCCGATTTTTTTAGCGCGTGTAAATGGGGTTTCCGTTGCAGGTTTTCATGGAGAGGGCGGAGGTAGGTTTCAGAAACAACTCACCATTATGAGGTGTTGCTGCCTGAGCAGTTGATGCACTACTGGCACTGTGCTCCTGTAACTGTCCAGTTCCAACAGATGAACTGTGTGTCTCAGGAGGTGTGCGTCCAGGAGGAGTGGGTGCACTCATAGGAGGATTAGACGGCGGCTGTGTCTGGTATGGCGAGTAGTGTCCACTGCTACTGGACATCTGAGATGTTGGTGTCCTGACACCAGACAGTGGCAGCGAGTCAGGTGGTGACGGGCGGGGTTTTTTCGATGGCTGCGGACCTTGGCACTCCTCGTCTTTAGGTTCTTGTTTAACCGCTACTGGTTTCCACTGGCTGTTCGGATCGATTGTTACTTCTTCTACGTCAGTACTGAAATAAAATACAGCCAGCTAACGTAAGTGTGGAGTGTCCTCATAATTCAGTTGGTGTGGTAAGAAATAAATACACTTGAGGTATATTGAAGACAAATCGTAATTTGAAATTAAAGATGATTTTAAACAAGGAAGTTCTTGGTAAATACAGCATTTGCAACAAAGATAAGACGTTCTTATTAAACCGTTTCATGAAGTTCCTAAAAACCTAGTGTCTAGGGAGATTATACATAGGTGCTTTTGGGGCAGTGCAGTTTTATCTATTTTACTACTGGGTTGAGTTACGATTTATTAAAATACAACCCCTTCAGCCATCTTTTCAGCCTGGATTCTAATGATATAACCTGAAACGGTCTGTGGCGGTCTCTCCCGGTAGCCCGTTCCATGCACCAAGATAGTCGGATCCGCGGAATTGAGAAAGCACGAGAACGATCACGCTCTCACATTTTTGCGTCCCTTTTACTTACGCGTCATCCCTACCATCTGAGAGCCTGGAACAGGCTACGCGAGGGTCACTATTAGGAATTGACCGAAACCGGAAACCGCGCATGAGAAGTCTCTGGCATCTAGGGTAGACCTGACGCAGACTGGTTGCCGTTCGTGTCCCTGAATAGGCTGATTTAGCAACAGGACGGGAACGTCATTTGACGACAGGTAAACGCGCGGAAAGGACTAAACTCGACTTCCCGTACCCAATTTGCCGCTCTGCCATTGTTGTTTGATTTGCGCGCGCAGTCGTCAACAGACGTTCCAATCAGCCTAATGTTGGTTGCAGACCCTTACAGATCACGGAAACCAAACTCAAGTTCTTTAGTGCGGGTATGTAACAAAATAAACAGCTTATTCGTAAAAAGGCAACAATAGCAACCACCTGGAAGCTGTGAGGATTCCCCACATGAACTGATCAACTTCCAGTCCTTCCAGGAGGGCAACTTTACTGCAAAACGACAGAAAATAAACAAATTAATTAAGAAGTATATAATGGATAGTTTTCTTCAACAAATAGCTGGCCTCAAGATTTCAGTAAAAGGTGTCCCAATACAGCTGAAGAAAGCTAAAATTAATTATCTTGTTGTTTGCTATTTTTCATGTACACTTTTTGAATACAATAACATTTTTAATCCATGTGAATTCTTGCCAAAACACCCTTCAACTTCCCATGTTTGCATAATTATTCAAAACTTACCTACAAACCGGACATTTCCAACTTCCTCTCTCACAGTTGAGTCTTAAGTAGGATTCCAAGTCAAAACACTAAAAGAATAGAAAACAAAAGCTAAAGTTTTTGAATACCTTTTTGGGATATTTTCACTGCCCAAGAGTTAAAGAAAGGGCACTGTCAGACAGAAAACAGCTCTTTACGTTTACCTGAATGTGTTTACAATCATGGCCTCTGGCTGGCAGAGTTATTCTTCTAAAGGTTATAGGACATTTCAAGGAAACTTTGATAGCCGTTTGCTCCACGCTATCATCAGTAGCGCCACCAGCAGACGAACATAATGAGAAGTTTCTTTTTACTGTTGATTAATACAAACAACGAAAGGTTAATTCACAAAATATCGTACCGTTTCACAAAGAAAACGATGACACTCTCTCTGGTGTAAAATCAGGGTTTAATACTCAACGAACTGGTTTGTAAGAGTCTTCCTTCTTTAGTTGGTAAAGAAATGCGGCGCTAACAAGGAGGCCATAGGTTCACACCCCCCTGAAACCCCCAATTTTTTTTGGTTCTGGGCTGGGAAGCAAGGGGGGGGGCGGATGCTTGATTTGCAATTGCTTCAGTTGCAATTTCAACTGCGACAGTCATATCTTGATTTACAATAAAAATCAGATTCTTCCACACTTTAAGATTTTCAGTAATCATATGACCACAAGTAAAACCTGCAAAATGTTTCATGAATAGATTTAGATACGGTACAGAATGTAGTACAATGGTTGCAATTTACCAGTGCATAATTTAAATCATGTTTTACTTACTTTTATTGATACAATGTTCCGCTGGAAGAAGTCGTTTCCGAAGTAAGCTTTGTAAAACTGAGCTTACAGATGGTCTATGGACTAGTTGAAGAACAAAGAGGTGCGACTAAAAAAAAACAGTGTCTATCAGTACATTTCACTCTTTTACTCCCTAAATAAAACTAAAATAGTTTGAATGATAAAGTGGACCAAATACTGCCACGTAGGGGCATTTGACACCCCCTCAGGCCCTGCTTATTGGGAGAAAATCTGTCCCGAGTCCCGAGTAGAATGGTCGGCCTTCTACTCGGGGGAACAAATTTTCTCTATGTTAACAGGGCCTCAGTGTCTAGAAGGCTCATTGTTACTTTCAGAGAAAATGCCTCTGGCACTGAGAACAAAACAGAATAATTATTAGGAAATGCAGATTAGAGGTACCAATAAAAATTAATGCATAGAAAGCAGCCGTTAAACAAAGAGGCTGTGTAATAGTAACTATTAAAGTGATGATGTCACAAAAATTAAATTTTTGAAATGCGTTGGGATATTTTGAAAGAACAACATCTGAAAGAACTACTTGCCAAAAACTAGCATTGTGGGGCAAATTATCTCGGAGATACTAGTCCCGCTTTGCTCAGATGACTCCATACAAATCCTCCTAAATTTGATCCGGTTCCTAATGTTATGAACTGAGTCAAATTTAGAAGGATTTGTATCGTCATCAGAGTATAACTGGGCTAATATCTCAAAGACAATTTGCCCTGGAATGCTAATTTTTGGCAAGTAAGCCTTTTGGATGTTGTTCTTTGATAGTTCCCTGAAAAATCCGATAATTTCACACATTTAATTTTTTGTGACATCACACTTTAGGACTCTATTGTCCTTGCATCTTAGTAACCTACACAGTGTAATCAAATGAAGCTCAGCATTTTTCTACAAAGGTGATTATCATTTGGTACCATTGAAAGATATGCAAACAGCAATGTTAACTAGAGTGTTATACTCACACAGCAGCATGCAGTAACTGTAATTTGTATGGTGTTCCGACCAGGTTTACAGACATTCTTGAGATGAAGAGGTTTGTGCGATGTTTTGTTATCTCCTTGCTGTAATGAAGATTAAAGGAATAGTTTCAGTACCACATGTTGCACTATGCTGCTAAAACAAACCACCCTCTTACATCTGAAATGGTCGACATCAACTAAAGAGGACACCTTAGCCTGTAAACATACCCTCCCTCCTAACATTCCTATTTCTCTTTTGTTGAAACAAAACAAAGCAAACAAACAAACAACAACAAACTCAAAACATCTTGAGTGCACATTGGAAAACATGATTAGGTCTCTGCAGCAGTCACAAACCCCCTTAAGCAGGACTTATTTGCAGTCTGTTCTACTTCACAGAGTTCTACTCTTGTCTCATATGAGTGAGGAGTCTATGAGACAGGTCATGGGAAGGCAAACTTGAGGTTTCTATCTGACAGCAAAAAGAAAGCAAAGCTGATGGAAATGGGACCAACCTCTTGTATATTTTTTACCCAAAAACAGCTACACTTGTGTAGTTTTTAATTACAAATGTAAGAGCACTTTCTGGTTATTTTTATCGAGACTATGATCTGACTTGATAGTCTTGATTAATACTGACATTGACTTTTCTTTAACACTGAACTTATCAGCCAAGCAAATGGAAAGCTCACCCTCATTAACCTGGCTGTCTAAGGATCTAATCAACTCACCCTTTCAATGCCAAGAGGATTAGCATTGACACTGACAGTGACTGATGCAGGCCAATTTGTGTACATCTGTTTATCTTCATGATGGTAACACTTAAACTGAAGTTCAAGATCAGGCCTGCAACAAAAGGTGAAGACTGTTCAAGCCAAATTCCAAACATCATTAAATATTAGGTGACATAAACAAAGGATTGTTTGTCTCTTCCCTTTTGGCTTTTCATGAATAATGAAATAAATAATTCCGAAGGAACATAACACGGTAGACTTAAAAAAAAAACCCTTTGTCTGATTTAATATGGCCCGGGATGAAGGTCAACCTCTCGTCGCTTGCTTGGCCACTTCATGGACTAAAAAGCTTGCTCTGCTCGCTTAGAAACTCATGAGGTTGACTTGTGGCAAGTCTAATAACATGGTTAAGAATCCCAACTGGTAGGGGGTGAACCAGTTGGCTATTTTACAGGCTTGGCAGAAGATTTGAGCTCTGGTGTACCAAGAACAAATCTGGCTAGACCATAAACTTGGGGTACCTGGATTACAAGTCCAGAACCCTAACCGCTTGGCCATGCTGCCTCACAGTGGCTTTGAATGCACTGCACATCAAGGGAAAGTTTGAAAACCCCAGAGTGGCCATTTTTTCTTTAATGTGTTTCACCTATTGTTTATAGTCTACTCAGGATCTGCTTAGGCCATGCAGCTACCTTTTTCAGAATTAACTATTTTTCCACCTGTGTACTTTTAATAATTACCTCATCATCAGTGTTTGGTGGACTGAATCTCTAAGATGGAACACATGGTTACTAACTGCTAAATTGTGCTCCAGTCTGAAAGGAGCAAGGACTATTCCATCTCGTACAGGGAAGGTTAAACGAATTACATCAGTTTCGTCTGTAGAAATAAGAGAGTAAATTATATTCCATGAAATAGTGCTGGGTGAAGCAGACAGGCATTTAAGTGGAATAACTCTGCCACTGTGCAAAGAACTTACAAGATGGTTATTTGTGAGATATTAGACTGACATGTTTTCAAAATTTCAGTTGTTACAGTGGAACCTGCTCCCGTATAAGAAATTGCCAAGGGAATGGAAAGATTGCTTGTCATAATAGCTATTATGTCAGTGTCCTGATGCATGCATTTTACTGAAACTGGGGTGAAATCTCATGCCATTTTTATTGTGGGTGTAATATTTCCACTATCACACAGCCTCTGGATACTGGGGCTACTTTCAATCCAGGTAAACTATTTTTTGGTCCCAAATTACGGTAATAATTATGGTAATATAGTGGTACTATGCCTACTTACTATTTAATCTAGGAGGCTTGATGTCCTCATAGCTCTGGGGCGATGCAGTGTTGGGAACAATTTGGGGTTTAATATCATAACAGTTAGAAGGATTACCACTGATGTCACTAATGCTCATGTAAGTGCTGGGCGTCGCTACAGGGGTGAGTGGAGGAGATAGGGCATTTGCCATGGGAGAGCTTTGGTACTGAAGTTGGCTTTTTCGTCTTCTCGACATTGAACCTGCCCTAGCTTGGGACATATGAGATCCATACATTCCTGCCGGGGACATTGGGTTCATTGATGACATCTGCGAGACCTGAGACATTTGAGGCATCTGTCCCATAGGGTTCATCTGTGACATCTGGTTTACTGGTCCCATGGGTGTCATCTGACCCATCTGTGGACCCACTGTTTGGTTCATTTGCGCCGGAACTGGCTGGTTCATGGAGTTTGGCTGCATCATCTGTCCCATCTGCTGGTTTATCTGCGACATGGGGCTCACACTTGGTGTGTAAGGAGGAGGAGGTCCCCCTTGTTGTTGATAACCTCCCTGTGCTTGATATGAAGATGGCACCTGATAGCCACCCTGCTGCAAAACAGCAAGTGAAGAAACCATTAATCACCTCGCAAAAATGTAATTAAATTCCTGTGACTAAAATCTACAGCTAAAAAATTGATAGGCATTAACCCCTTCACTCCCACAGAGTGACTGGTGGAGTCTTATAATAGTTCTTATAACTTTTGAGACTGTGAATTAAGTACAATGAGTGTGGCCATTCAAATGAAATGTCTCTGGCATACTTTTATTGGTTAAAATGTTTTTGAGCATTTTACAAAATGAAATTTGGAATTTTTGTTAATTTCGGCATCAGGTTGGAAGGACTGCTCAGTTGATTAACCTTGTAAACCCTCGCTTCAAAATTCAATTTCTCATTTGTTTTCCCTATATGTTTCCTTTTGAGGTAGAAGGGAGAAGCCAGATTTATCTTGTGTGATCACATTCCTACTCCTTGTCACCCATTTGCTCTATTAAGAATTTATATCAGAGGGAGAACCTTGATGCTGATCACTCCATGGCTAAAAGAGGTGAAAACAACTGTAGCGTACTCTTGGTTTGCAACCACGTGACAAGGCGGCCATGTTGGGGGTCAATGCAATGGACTTTTTTCTCAAAAATTTACATGGAAATAGAGTTTAGTTCCAAGAGGAGAGAAATGCTTTTGTTCTCGACTACCAACATGGCCACCGTGACGTCACGTGCAAACAAGCGACTGCACAATGATAACAGAAGTTTCACAATTACACATCCCAATATTCAATATCTGTAGGTGACGCTGTTTTTGTTCAAGTAATAAAAGAATGTCACTACTGGTGCTAAGCAACCTTCACCATGAAAACATTTAATAACAAAATCTTGCACTGTGCCTTACCCCATACTGCCCAGGATACTGTCCTTTATAATGCTGCTGCATTTGCTGCTGTTGTTGCTGCTGTTGCATATGTTGCTGTTGCTGCTGCTGCCTTCTCATCATCATCTCCTGCATGTATTGTGCCCGCGTCATTCCAGGTGCAGCTTTCTGCATTCCCTGCTGAGCTCCAGGTTGCTGCTGTTGTGTGAAGGGTTGCTGATACTGAGGGAAGCTATTGCTGCGTTGATAAGGGGGTGGCGGATGCTGCGGGTGATTAGCTTGGTTTGGAGGATACTGGTTTTGTCCTTGCGAGAATCCATACTCCCCTGGAGAAAGAAATAGAAAAAAAATTCTCTCAATCTTGACAGATAAAACAGTTTAGGGAGCACATAACGTAGCCCTTTGTTTTACCAAACACCTTTCAAGAGCAAGCCCATCAATGAGGGTGTTTCTTGGTGTTTGCTGGGTATTGCTCGGTATGTTTTGAATCTTTTGTATTGCGTCATTTGGTGATTGCACCCATCTCCAACAACAAGAAACTACCACTAAAGAAGAAAACCTCCAACCTGCAAAAGAGAGATTCAAAAGTCAGAATAAACTTTAAAAACATACCCATTTGCTGCTGATCTTGAAGAGCAGCAGTGGCTGTTGCAGTAGCAGTTGCAGTTGCTGTAGCAGCAGCTGCTGCAACTGCTGCCGCAGCTGCAGCTGCTGCAGGATTGGCTGCTGCTTGTGGGAATGGGGATGCATTAGGAGGGACTGAACTCTGCTGGTTATAGTAGTGGCTACTTCCCGGGGGTACACTCGGTGTGGAGCCTGCACCAGCAGGGTAACTGTGTTGCCGCTGGAAGTATTGAGCTGCTGTGGGCGTTGTTTCTTGTGGAAGCCTGCTTCCTGGTCTTGAAGGATATCCCCCTAGAGAAAAAAAAAACATCATTTTGTTTACTTGTTTGTAAATGAAAGTATGCTGATTTGATTCCCTGTTTACCATGGCAAAATACATATGGATGCTTGGCATCTGTGAGCCAAGTACGTTAAGACATCTGGACAATCATTTCGAAGTCAACTGACCTTTGAAAGACAAAGGATCTTAATGAAACCATTCTGCCCTCTTTGATCTACACACTCTTTTATCCATTTATTGTTTTTATTATTTTCATTTAATTCCATTACTTCAACTGTTGCTTCAATTAATTAGATTTCAGTAAGTTCTGATAACTGCATCTACAAAAATTGGGTTATTTCCAAAGCAAGCAACTTGTAAATTTGCCTTCAGTTGCACTACTAAATTTTTAAGGATCTCTACATCACAATTTGAAAGATGTGATCACAATACTCATTCTCACTTTTTCTACGTAGATCTACATATCTAAAAGTATTTACCGATTTTTGTGCCAGCCATTTCAGCAATTTATTCATCTCACTTACATAAATTTCTTGTGACTGTATTTTCGTAATCGCAGAAATACTGCAATGCTGCACTCCAGAATAAACCCCAATTTTGCATGCCATCATGTTAACCGCAACTCTAAGTCTTAAGCCTTGTAAGTAACTTGTGACAAACTCCTTGATAAGGGTGTGTGCACAAAAACTATAAACAATAGACAGTTGAACAGAGTTTCATTCACCTGGTTGAGCATATTGTTTTGGATTTGCTGACGTTGAGAGATAAGGATGTCCCACAGAGTTAACAGTATTTGTTGTAGGTATTCCAGGATTATTTGGATCATGTGTTATGTTTGCTGTTCCATTTGTCATGGAAGATGTGACGCCCCATACTGTTGTCACAACTGATACGGAAGGCTGTTGCTGACCATGGCCTTGAGTGGTCTGTGGCCACATGACAGTTGATGCATCACTGAAAATAGTCAAACATGGTTTTGTAAATGTTTCTAAAAATAATGTCCAAAAAGACATGATCACAGCTATAGCTACTGCAATTAACATGTGCATGTTATCTACAGCACTTAAAGCTGTGCACATTTATGCATTATGCCAATTACATTACTAAAAGTTCTTTTCACTGCCACATTAAACTTTGAGGCATGCAAAATGTAATATAAAGTCCTGTTAATTCCACGACATTATTTGTACCTTGAGCCTTTTGTTATAATTTCAGTGTGTTTATTAATGTTGGTAACTGTTTAAAAGACTATTCTATGAAGTTAAAATAAACATCATAATCTTAGAATCAATAAATGCCCTTCCTTTGACAAATCAAAAACTACTGTTAAACAGGGCACTGTGATAAGACATGCAGCTTTACATTCCTACACAAGCATGCATCCAAATGAAACACAAGGTCCCAGTTTAGGTTAAAATAAAGGAACATCCCTCCAGCATTATGCTAAAAGGTGATCACATCAAATGACATTTCCTTGCACCTCCAAAATTTCCTAAACTATGATGAAGATGATGGTGAAACTTAATTTAACTTGTTGGTGACATAATTATAGCTTACCTGGGTTTTCAATAAGATTTTACATAGGTGGCAAAAGCTTTGGAAAAGGTGGAGAAGGAAAAACCCTGTGGCAAAGGCGCAACTTAGCACCAGTTTCTGAAAAAAATTTGACATCTGGACCTCTTAGAATGCATTTTCAGCATTCTAGAGCAAAAATTTGAGTGTTTGAACAGAACACAGACATCATTAATTTTTTTTTTTTTATTCAGTGACAGCACATGAATACTCTATTTAAACTGGGGTAATATCCAAAGGAAAGTAGGCGGCGCGTTACATGAAATAGCCGGCGAATTTAGCCAGCCACCGGCTCTTATTGAAAACCCTGGCTGAGGGAAAATAGCCTCTCTTCCAATAACTACTTAACTATTCGTTCCTTTCTGCAGGGAGATGTTGGAAATCAAGGTAATTTAAATGCTTTCTTCATTTTTTCCACAACTTAAGGTTTAAAAATGGAAAAATTAGAATAATTGAAAGCTCCCATGGAACAATAAACAGCCCAAACAAACACTTCACTGATAATCTATATTATTTTAAAGGAATTCATCATACATGGACAAGAAAGGCTAGTATCTGATCATACCCTAATCATTCAAATAGGCCAGTTTCAAGTTAATTCAATTCTTAATTGGGCTCCAAGGATAAAGGGTGTGAAACAAAAACATTCAAACTGAGACTTAGGGATGAATAATTCATTTCTTTTGTCATATTCCCCTCAACCTAAGAGCCAAAAAGTCAAAACTTCCTGACTGATGATAACATTAATAGAATATAACAGAGTGTTCAGAAGGTAAGTGGCTGAACTCCTAATTACTACCACTTAAAACAAATATCACAGTGTATTTTGGAACTATGTTATGGGTAACGGTAACTGGTCTTTTACATCACATAAAGAAATTGAGCAACTCCTGAATTATCAGTATTTTAATAATATTTACAACTCTTCTCTGGCCTGTAAATCTTGTGAAAAATATAACATTAAATGTTATTAAATGTGTAAAGAAGAATACACAAAACAGGTGCTGCAATAATGCTAACAAATGCCAGAACAACTAGCCTTTAGATGCTAACAGGCTGTATGCAAAGGCAAAATTAAATCTGGTATATTTTGAGCTTAAAAAAATAGATAAATCAAACCAATGGAAATGTCCCCTGCTTCAGTTAATGATGGGAAAAAAGCCTTCAATACGTGTAACACTTACTAACAGTTATATCAATTTTTTTCATTGAAAACAAGTTATCAGAGTTGAACACGAGCGAATTAGTTTGATAGCATTAGTACCCAAAGAACTTCTACCATACCTCTGTGGAAAATGCACCTTCAACATTGTACATGTAATAGTATGGAGCCACAAAATTATAGGCAGATTATTAGAAGAAAAAAAAATGACCTTCACCACAACGCATCCAAGATTTATAACACAACTAAGACACAGAGAAATGAGTCTAACAAATATTTTCTAAGAATATTGGAACACTATGTTAAGGTACATTAAGAGTTGAATGAAAAAATATGTTACACCAATATTACACAGGTTTCACAGCAAAAGTTTCTACATAATCCATTTAAAAATCTAATTACATTTTAAAATGTCATGTAAAGCAGTGTGGAGAATATTCATTTTTTGCCCGTTGTGAAATTACTGTGGCAATTAAGGTATTCCGCCCATCACATGATAAAAATGAATCTTTAAATTACAGCATCATATTGTTCAATATTAACAACAACATCTGCCCAGAGGTGAATTAAACGTCATAAAAGCCACAGGGTAAGTTAAATACCATCCTGGTAGCTAAAATAAATAGTAAAGAGTTGCTACAATACTTTGTTGACGTCAGAATCAATGAACAGTCATCATGCTATAGAATTAACTTTGCAAATCTTGATGAGCATGATATGAGCAAACAAGAGACATATTCAAAGTATCAATATGTGATCATAAAGTAAGGTGCCAACAAAACAACACAATAATTTCAGTGCTGTTAGATTCTGCACGACCTTCAGCAAATTAAACTGAATTAACTACAAAAGCGAAATAATTTTATTGTCAACCTATATAAATAACTACACATGTCCACGAGTAAGAAAGTTTTATGAGAAAACAGCAATCTTTCCAACTTCACAATACCCTAACAAACAATTATCTAAATGCATTAGACTATTAAAAATGTATGAAAGCTATAAGATGGTATTCTTAGTTTAACATAAGTTGGGTAATGAGCAAAATCTATAATCTTCTCGAGAAACAGGAAACTTGCATGTTGTTTCCCAGAAATACAGCTACAAGACTGTACATATTAAATTTTACACTGGGCACCTTTCAGAAAGTTGTAACTGACTCTATTTAACATAATGTTCATAAGAACATCAATGCACTTCACATCAACTCTTTTGAGTTTGATAGCCAAGCTACAAAACCCAGGCCATTAATCAGCTTTATGCATAATACGCTAAACTGTTAGAAGTAGAAAGCAACTATTTATTAATTTAGAGAAAGCTTGTGTATACGTGTACAGTGTAGTTCCTTGAATCATCAAAATGATAGTTGTTAAGATTAGTCCTATAATTATAATACTAAGAAAGGTAATGGAACACAAAAGCGATTCAAATGATGTGGAAATATTAACACAACCTTCATCTAATACAAGCTACAATTAGCATGTATGAGAAGAGTCATGAAACCATTGACTTACTTGTTGGGAAGCTGATTTAACGGGTTGACTTGGTTCATTTGATTCATTTGTGTTAGCTTGTTAGCTGGCCCTGTGGGGTATCCCCCTGTCTTCTGTGTATCATTCCTTTGCTTCTGGTGTCGCAACAACAAAAGTCTACCAAGATCTTCACACCAGACTCCTAACATAGCTGTGAATATCAAAAGCCCAATATAAGTGCAATATTAGATTCAAGTGTTCACAGAAGAAAAAATATAAATAATGTCATTGCTGGTTAATTGAGAGCTCATTTGAATAGTTTTTTTGAGAAAAACATACACTTTGATCCATTCAAAATCAAACAAAAAACAAAAAAAAGTTCATACACAATAAATATTACTGGCATTTAGAGGGTTATCAATGTGCAGTATTGAACATGTTTGTTACCCCACTGATCAATTAAAGCGCTCATGTGATGGCACTTGGAGAATATTTGATGGCCATTCACTCTACCCTGTCCGCATGCCTCATAGTTCATTTTTGAATACAACACAAAGAAATGATGATTACACAAAGCATGCTTCCAACAGCAATATTTCTCACTAACAAAGCAGCTAAAGTTTTTCTTAAATGCAAAAAAATTTACATATTCAAAAATGTATGCTCATTAATTTTTTTGGCCACACTTGGGTGCTGTCTACCTGAAAGTAAAGGCTCCTCAGAAATTGTGGTTGAAATTGCATATTTTACACATGGGTTGGCCAAGCAGATTCAGCATTAGAAGTCAACAAGGAAATTTCTTTTCAAGACCAAAAGCTCTAATTGGACCGCCGAACACTTAATTTTTTTGATATAATACTCTCTTTTGACTTGTGTAAACATAACTGTAAGTTCCTTTCAGACTGCTGTCTCCTAACAGCCAATTCATGCGGGTGTAAAGCTCTCTCCAGAGGGGGGGTGGGAGTGTACCAATGACTCCTTCAAACCCTGACCCTGTTTAAGACAATTGATCACTTCATTACCCTGTTTAACACAGGAGACCTTTTCATGGCCCTGATTCACTTTATTTCAAACTCAGTTTTCTCACCAACGTCATAGAATACGACGTTTTTGAAAAGACATTGCTGGTAACACATGTGTGAACCGCTCATTGCCAACAAAATACCAAATGTTAAGGAAAGTAGCATGCATCACTTTGAGACAGAAGTAGACATGGATGACCCATTCATCTAATTAACCTCATGAGGAATACACCAATAGGTATTTAAAAAAATCCAAACTTACTTGCTGATTTCGTTGTAAACTTGTCCCTGTGAGCAGCACAAACTGCCAACAGTCTATATCCTAAAAAATTAACAAAAATTTACTTTCAACAACACTTTTCAAGAAGAACCCGCAAGTCCAGTAGACTTGCACAAGCTGCAGGTAGATATACATCAAGGCAGACAACTGGTCTAGTACATGTTGCGCTTTGAGACTCAGTTTTTGAAAGCAACTTTATGATGCAACAATTCACGCCAATTTCTCTAAAATTAACCAAATTTGCAGCCTTAAAGGTATAAATACTATAATTTCATTTAAAAAAATTTCAGTCCTTAGAATAATACTCACAGTATTTCAGTCTGTAAATTATTAAATTTTCAAGAAAAGTATTTAATAAGTACAATACTACTGACAAAGGGTGCAGAGACATATACTACTGGTATGCAGGAAACTGTGATGTTGGTAAATAACAAATGAGAGACATGGTAAACTAACCTAAATCCAAATCATAACCAGGATTTGCTGCAACTTGGCTCACAACCTGAGAAGACATAGCCACAACAATAAATCATTCACATTTTCAGACTGGCCATGAACACTTGTTTGTCTCTACCGTATTTGTCATGAAAAGAATAGAAATGACATGCTGATAAATTGCCAGGTTATCCTTTCAACTTTTCCTGTGAATGCTGTTGCATCAAAGCAAGAACTTGATATCACCATCACCAGCTGGGTTCTCCATAAAATTTGAAGTAGAAGAATTTAAAAAAAAAAAGCACAAGACTAAAGTGGAAAGCACAGAGCACCTCTGATGCTGCACAGCTTCATGTGGAGATGGACAGGTGTCCCTCTCTGAGAAAATGTCATTCAGTGTGCAACCAAGGAAAGAATTGAACATGAGGATCGCACCTTCAATTCATTAACCCCCTTTGCTTCACAGCAGGTGTTAGCAAGGATTGGGGAAAAAAGAAAATGGGGACTGGGAGAGGGGACATAAAGGGATACAACTTTTGCATCCGTCATCTCCCATCCCACTCCTCCCATTACCTTCCCATTTTTGTACTTACATATACAGGGCGAGACACATACTGAGCAAATGTGCAACACATACTTCTAAGTACTTCAGACTAACCAAACTTTAATTTCTAGAACATTTTGATACGTACTGTAAGACATCCCATTAAGTTGCTTTCAAAAGCTCGCTGGAAGGCTCGTACATCTCCACACCACTCAAGCAGTTCCCTTGCTGAGGTCTGAAACCCCTGGGGTGTGGAAAGGTGCTGTTTTATGCACTGTAGTCTCTCATTTGTTTGTTGAATATGCCGCTCCATGCTCAGGCTCATACCAGCACCTAAAAAAACATTGTAGCTTTCAATTTGCATTTCATGATCCAAAACATTCACACTCAATATTTACTTAAAGTACTGTAAAATGGAACAGTCAACAGATAAGCAAAAACAATGCTTTTAGTCAACAGATTTCAAGTATCCACTCGTAATTAAGAATTATTGTTTAAAACTAAGCACATTGATAACCTGCATCTGAATTGTGTCCCAGAGTCATTCATTGATCATGACATGAAATTCAGTTTTGATTAATGCTAGAGTCTCAGGCCGAATTCTTTAATGCATCTATTCTTACAAGAATAAAACTTATGCACAGTTCTTTCATATGGAACTATACCACTGTATATGATTTTGAAATTTTACATAAGGCAAATTGAGGTGGTTTTATGAACTCTGTTTTGGTTACTTGGGAATGAATGAGCTAAATGAGTCATCATTGCATTGATTATCTCTATTTCTCCATCTTTGTCATTTGAAACGGAAGACCAAGAACTATGCACATAATTACTCAACAGCAATTAGCAGCAATAAAATGCATGAACCAGCAAGATAATATTAGCCCAATTAACTCATATTTACCTTCAATTACAGAAAGAATGTTAAACAACAGCTAAACTAATCACAAACATTATTTCGTTTTTCTATAAACAACACTTTACTTTGAGAAATAAGATAATTACGTGCATGTAGATTAAACTTGCTCTAATACAAAGCAACTCATTGTGTGGTGCAATTAAAATATCATATGCACTCCACCAATTTAACAAAGCAAAGCTGCTGAAAAACTTAAACAAATACATGTTGATAAAAGTTGTTAATGTTTGGCTTTGAAAAATCAACTCAAACATTAAGTAAAATTAAAAGCAAGTTACAGAACAACGCACAGAGATAACTGTCAGGAGCATTGTTCCTAGCAATGATTATTTTGTGATTGCTAGTTTAAGCTCATATTGCTCTGTACTTGCATTAGCTTATACAGCTTTTACATTTCACCAGGAAACTACAAATATTCCAGATTTATGTGGCCAATATGGACTTTTAAGACTGTTCTTTACACCACTTACACCTTCATTCACCTTGTCATAGTCTGTGAAAATTTGCATCAAATTCTTAGAGTTCACAAACCATGAAATAACATGCAAACAAAGCCAGACTAACATGTGGATGAAAACTAATAGAAGCCAAAACTAAAAATGCAACTGCATTAAATGCAGCTTAGCAACTTTGCTGAGAAAGCTGCACTCCAGTCTTGCATTTAAACAGGGCCAAATTAAAGGATAACCACAAAAAACAACACATGGCTTTTGTTAACCACTCTTTTTAAATTATTCACAAGCCACAAGCAAGGCCATTGTCTTTTGTCCACCTTCAACACTTTTCTTTAGTTTTCAACCTACATGTACTTTATTGAAAAGCATGGCATAATTAACAGAATAATGGCATTGTCCCACTGACGTCTATTCACACTCCCAAAGGAGACCTATCCATAGCAATTGAAGAAAGCTTCCTAGTGAGCTTGATCATTTGGCAGAAAGGGAAACCCTTTGCACCTACTTGAAGCTCAACACTCTCCTATCTCTTGACCTAACCAAGCGTATAGTTTCTCTTCAAACCCATAACCAAAGAAAAAACCTCATGGGGATACTGCTCTTCCACTTCACAGTATTCACGTGTCTGATTTTGGTGAACTACAGGAAAACACTAATTCTAATAATAAATTTAATAAACATTATTTGACTAAATAATATAATTTGACGTTTAGGAATTAAGTTAAAACAGAACTGAAAGAAGCAGATTTCAAATTAACTTCAGACTCTGGCTTAATGATTACCAATGTTAATTGTGTCACAATGACACAGGAATAGGCTTAATTACATTTTACAACCCCACACCTTTTAAAATTGTCAAACTCCATTTAGTGCACAGGATATCTGTTGTATCTCATTTACACTTTGTCTACAAGGTACAAGTTCAGTCAGCTGGTGTCGGTAAACCAATACACCACTGATTTCATTCACTTATAATTGAAACCCTTGCTGAGTCAACTCCTGCATCAATTTTAAGGTGACTATTGGTTGTCTTGCATCAAACATTTTGTTTCAAAACTAAATATTTGCAAACTTGAAAGTTAGTTTCTTCAAGGCTTTATCAAAGGTTAAAGAAAAACCAAATTGTATTTTAAAATAATCTTGTCTCTGAAGACATGTTTTGACAGAACCAAAACAAAACAGCCCTGCCATTAGTTATAGTAGCAATGAGTTGTTTTGAATTTATTTAGGTTAACAATGTTAAATGCAACACGTTTATTTAAAGAAGACTTTAACATGTTTCACGGCTAATACTGAGAACCTAAGATGGAATTAACCAAGATTAAAATGTCAGAAGAAAAGGTCTATTACTGTTCTGGTTGAGGAGTTGGTTATCCAGGGGCTGATTCTGTGCTGTAGCTGTTCCGTAGAAGAGACCGTCATCCAAGTCACCAGCCATGGCCTTGCCAGTGAAGTCGCCCAAACCATTCAGAGGGAAATCCCCCATGTCGAGGAGCAAAACGTGCCAATAATTCAAGAGAGTAGTGTCTTCAAAACTTGTTAAACCCCACTACTGTGTTATGAGGTTTGTGATAGAGCTAACAGGGTAATGAAAACATGCGGTTAGGTTTAAAAATTTTATGTTTAAAGAGTTTCAGTCATTAATAATTGAACATTTAAGGTTTTCAGTTTCTAGTTTATGACAAGGTTTAACCCAGCTGCCGTGAAAAAGAGAATCTAATACATAGAAACTTTAAGAGTTAAATTGAAGATTATTCCACTCGGGAATGAGCTGGAGTAAGACAGAGTTCAATAGTTTAGGATTATTTGTTTATTTTTACTGTGCAATGGTTTCAAGTGTTGAACCAAGTTGTAGACATTTCATTAAGATTTAATAAGTGGCAGCCTGTGTTTTGTTTGCAAATTCATATTCTTTAAATCTGATTAGTGAGAATAAGTACATGTCAAACCATCACAGGTACACTGATCAGGGCACACACCGTGACTAAACAAAGTCAAGGGTTAGACATCCACAACTTTATTTGCCTTGGAATCCTCGCCCCTCCCCCATGTTAATGAACATCACCCCTTGCATGCTAAAGACAAGCCTCGCAAAATCACCCAGAGTTAAAAGTTATTTGTATAGTTTTTTTTTTTTTTAATTTAGATATTAACCTGTTGGCTCGAGTTCAGAGTGCTGTCAAATATTGATGGGCATGAGAAGTTTCACATGAAGTCAATGGGCCTGCAACAGCATGCATGCAACTATATCAACAGACAAGGCTTTTATATGCTCAGTGATTGTTCACACCCTACTGAACCCCACCCCATTCAGTGATTGTTCACACCCCACTGCACTGTTCACATGTCTCCTTTTCCATTATATGTATTAGGTAACTTGACAGAAAAAATTAATATCTATGATAAGGGCAGGATGGGAAGGGGGGGGGTTAAGTCTTCGTATTGCCTGTTTTTTTTTAAAGTAACAGTGAAGTGATTCCTGAAAAAGGGCTTTAAACAGGCTTCAAACCCCAAAGTGTGATTTTGTGGTTCACTGGCCCAGAATCTTAAGTTGCTCAGTTTGATTGCATAGGAAATATTGCTTAAAAATAAATATTCACTATACAGTGTACATGTAAGCATTAAAGAATACAAGTCAGGGTTGTCACTAAGATTTCAAGTTGCAGGGTAAATACAACAAGAAGGCAGGGAATCCAACAGCTAGCAATCTCTTTTGGTTCTATTTTTTTTCCATTTTCCTATGATAGAAGCTGGGGACCACGTTCATAGAAGCCGGGGGAAATCTGCCAGTCCCCACCTCTTATTGACAGCCCTGCAAGTACAGTACATTTATTTTGTATGTCTCATCTAGTATCACATATAATATTTGTTTGGGCAAACTACTTACCTTGAAACAAGAAAATATAATTTAAACAAATGTCACAAGTTTCCCTACTTAATGCAAGTAGTGTGCACCATTTAGTGACTTACAAGACAAAACCTGATGGAAGATTTTGCGTGCATAGAAAGAAAATTTTTCTTAGGATTGTTTCTTCTAATAAATATTGTTTAGAATCATTCAATGGTTAATCCTCATATTATGAAATGAAAATGTATGCAACAAAGCAGGATTGATGACAGTTTTTCTGTAATGTGAATTTCCTCAAGTTAAGAACAGAATTCACTTGCCCAACAGCAAAATCCACTAGTCCTGGGCTATCGGACATGACTTTCTTTGCACAGTGATTCTTTTAGTTTTTCCCATGCAAAACTGGCCTGATTGGCCAAAAAGCATTGGAATTAAATTTTAGCCTTGGGTTTTCTCTTATCATTAGAGTAGAGCTAGATTATGTATCAGGTTTTCAATATGAAGTACCCTTTTGTACCACTCACATACTTTTATATTGTACCATTCAGTTGAGGCATTTAAAGGCCATAGGTTATTGTTTATCCATGTCAGAGCAATATTGTATCACCAAGTTAACAGCTTACATGTACATGTAAGTTTGCCATTAGTAAACACCATTAATCTTCAGTTAAATCACCCAGTGATAAATGAATCACACTGTTAATAACGGATGATCAATCAGAACAAAAGTATTTTGCAGCTGCATTATCAGCAAGTGCTTTCAATTCTGTCAACGACGCTCCCTTCTTTCTTTCTGGTGCATACTCTCAGTGCAATCACATGAAGGGAAAGAAAGGTATGCAAAAAGAAACTCACAGCACAAAAGTAGCTAAGGTTCCTCCTCTTTACAGGACTTTACTGTACAGGAAAACTAGAACCTAACTTTTCTGCTACACTGTACATCCTACCGACACTTAGGCCACTGGCATCCATGGACTAATATATAGATTTAGCCCAGGCTAAAAGCAAAGTTATAATTCAAATCAAACAATAAACTTGTAATCCATCAATCAGTTAACTTTAGGGAAAACTCATGTGACTTTTGAGGGAAAGACTAAGTGATTTCAGAGCAAAATAATTTGCAAACAGTCCAAGAGTGTTCAAAACAAATCTCACATCAAGTTAACAGTCTACAGCTGTGCGGTGAGAAAAATCAAAAGGAGCCCAATTTTCCGAACCTATCAAATCCAGGTTGACCAGAATGTGATTTTTATGCTATAACGAAGTGTCCTAGTTGCCCAAGAGCAAAAAAAAACAGAAGCCACCAGAAGCTGCTAGAGCAAAGCATTGAAACGTCAAAAGTAAATAATGATTATAGTCATGAATGAACACCCTTAATATTCAACTCTCATTCTGCAATGCACGAATAAAACACAGTCCACAATACAGCTTAGAGGTGGCAGTCATTTTCTGCGTGAATGGTACTACTGTAAATCCCCTTTTAACCCCCCCCCCCGCCCCCCAGGGGGGGCTCATTTATTCCGAACACATTTGAGGGCAGCTTATTTGAGAGGGAGGGCTTATTCAACTTAGCAAAGGCAATGGTATCAGTTCTCTATAAAATTAAATTAAATTAAATTAAAAAAAGCTAGAATACAAAGTGGAAAAGCTCAAGCAAAATGACTGGAGGTCTTGAAGCTAAGGATAAAAAACAAACTGCACTTCCAGCTGGTGAATAAACCATCCTGGATCAGTCCACACTAAATTTTACAGTCGGCATTGACTAATGCAGTCTATCTTTATTAGTAAATAATAATAAGGGGGAGCTTATTACCTTTTATTCCTGAAAAGGGAGGGCTTATTAGAGAGAGGGGCTTATTTGAGAGGGGGGGCTTAATAAGGCACTTCCTCAATCTTTCAGGTTTACAGCTTACAATGCAAATGCTGCAGTGTCCTTTTGACATTCAAACATTATTTTTACCAACAACACCAAAAACCTATCTGTTTGCAGATAAAGGTGTTGAATCTGTGCAGCTGCACCTAGAACAGTGTGTTTTTGAGTCTGAAATATATCTTCTTTAACTTGTTGGGAAAAAAGTAAAACTCACACTAACCTATACATATACTGTATGGCTAAATACAGTCAGCTTTTAACAATCAATGAGCTTATGCACTAAGGAGAAAAATACTTTTGTCTCATTTTCAAAATAATGGCTTAATGACTATGAATTACTTTTTGCTTCAATCCAAACAATATTTAACCAGAATTTACACCTGTCAAGAAACCATAAAGCAAAAAAGATGAACATTCAGAGTAGGTACACAAATCTATGATTATCTCTTGGAGCCTCAAAGCATGCAGAATGCATCACAGAAGCCAGTCAACAATCTGCACATTTTTAAATTCCTGATCACAAAACAAAAAAAAAATTTTACTTTGAATTTGAATAATGGAGAACACGTTTGGAAATTTGCTTAAAATTTTAACATAAATACAAAACATCCCTGACACTTTTGTGTCACTGAATGTAATAAGCATGAATTTCATTGGTTCACACTGGCCTTAAAACCAGCTGCAAAAATTGTAAGCTCACAGAATGATTGACAAGGGAAATAGTCAGGTTCTCTGCAAAATTTTAAGTTAATATGCCTGGAGGTGCCCACAATAAAATTGATCTAGAGCTAAGACCACAACCCAAGAAACAGAAAGCAAAACACTAGGTCTTGACCCTTATATAAACATACCAGTTTAACCCTTTAAGCCCTAAAAGTGATCAGCATCAAATTTCGCCTGGTACTATCAATGCTTTGTAAAACAGAGTGGTCTTGAGAATTACAGACATGATCACACAAGATGAATTCACTTGATATTTTATCAACTTCTCCCCACTACTTCTGTAGGAAATGAATATGGGCAACAAATGAGATTTCAAATTTTGATCTTAGGGTTTAAAGCGTTAACAGTTTAACTTTCCATGGTTGCTAATACCTAACAGATCATCACATAAACACTTAAGGGATGAATCTTAACCAAAGCTCACTGCCTCCTCACAAGAAAACATGAAGCACATTGGATTGTACAGCAAAGACTATAAGATTTCATACTGTGACTTTTAGTACATAGTCAGGACTAAAATTACAGATGTAAAACTTTCTACTGTACAACATGCATGAAGTACATTTACACAGTAAAAAAACCCCATCTATATCATTACTTGGAAAACTGTCTTGCAAGTTCAATCCTCTTGGCATTCATGAAATACAGAAAGAAAAGAATTATAGATGCATGCTATTGGGGAAATGGAACAAAGCCAAAACATTATTTCGTCTGCTCCTGTGCCTGATACTTAAGAAAGGAAAGTCAATACTTTTGTCTTTTTTTTTTCGAAACTGATAAAATGTACAACAATGTCTTTTGAAAAATAACCATCAACCTCATCCACATTACTAGAAACAAAACTAAAACCAATATATAAGTCCACACATGTAGCGTGTGCAGGAGAGGGACTACAAGATCAAATTTCAAGAACAATAATTTAAACTTTGCCCTACTTGGACATGTACGGTGCAACATTAACTAAAAAACAATGAACAAACAGTTTTTGCATTTGACATTACGAATTTTTAGTCATTTAGTGCTAGTGCCAAGGGTTTGTTTTGTTGCAATAATTAATAAAAATATTATTCATTTAGGAAAGTGGGGAATAACTATGAAGAGCCTTCAATGCTCTGGATAACAAAGTGACCTTAAATATAAAGTAATCAAAATCCTTCCTTTTTGAGCATGAAATGTGCCTTGGCCTTAACCAGTTATAATTTGTTAGTCTTAACAACCTAATTCCCTAATTGCTAGACAAAAACCTGGATTTGGTATAATAATTTTTGTGAACAAGTACTACGTAAACCCACAAACCGAAAAAAAGGATCAATTTGTTATGCAAATAAGACCCGACATGGCACGCAGACGTCACAAACTACCAATACCAAGAAGAGAGTTTGATGAAAGCTGATATAATTAATTATGATGAAACACTTTGCCCGTTTCATAGTCTGGTTATGCAATGTAATCTAAAAATTGCACAATACAATAAGCCAATAAACATTAAAGAATAGGTAAACTAAAGTGTAAAAGTGCCTTTTGTAAGATGTGGGTGGCCAGTTGTGGAGCATATTTATTAAGACAATGAGCAGCTTTCCAGAGGAACTAAATGTAATTCGATACTGTCTAGTAAAATACAGGGATACGACTACTGCAATATTACTAAACATTCTCTCTAATTATCAACACTGTTTTCAA